TTTCCAGCGAGTTTCCCTTCTTTCCCCTGGCTGTCTTTTCTTGCACGTTTATTTCCTGTTTAAGGCGGTTTCCACGCGCTCCAGTCGGCTAATGGAGTAAAGCTGAGAAAAGGGGAAGGCTGGAGAGGTGTTTTGATACGTATGGGATCCTGAGGGAAGAAGCCCTGTTTTTCTCCCGCTGTGTCCATGCTCGTCCCAGGGGCGTATCTTCTGTTGGCATGAAGATAAATCACCGCTTCAGTGCGCAGGCTTGCTGTGGCCCGTAACGCAGATCTGTCCCTTTTCCCCCATGTCTGAGATCTCTGAGGTTTCTCCTTGTCTGAAGTCGAAAAGAACAGAGCGCCGGCAGCAGGCGGCGCTCCCGCCCTTTTCCACGGCAGCACGGGCAGCTTCCTGAGGCTGGTCCGGTCTGGTTCGTCTTCTAGCCCGGCGGGAGACGGGTTTCCGGCCACCGGACCCCTGGCGGCGGACAGCTGGCGAGCCGGACCGCATGGGTTAATGTTCCGTCATCTCAGCCACCGCCGCCCGAACGCGTGGATGCCGGTCTGGCTGCACTCCTGGTTCGCGGCAGGCCCGGCCAGTCCTTCGTTATCAGACCGCCAATGAAGACGCAGGCACCCGCCTGAGCCGGCACTGTCCCGAGTTAGAGACGCCGCTCCGCGAGTGGGGTTTCCATACGGCTGAAGAAGAAAAACCCCACTCCACGCCAATATTCTAGTTTTTGATTGGAGTCGTTATTTTATTATCACACCCAGTTTTCTCCATTTCTTTACGCGCTCCGCTCTTCCGGAACCCGGCGCTTCGGGATATCTGCCCACCGTCAAACGTGCGCTTTCGATTCTCGTAGATGCGGTTTTGCCTCAGCGATAAAACTAAAAGAGCAGATCAGCAAACGGCGCTCTAGAAGTCGTTAGCTTGTCCCAGCGGCGGCCTGTCAGCCGCCCCTCGGCTGGCCAATTTATGGTCCGAGCGGCCAGCTGGTCCCCTGCCTCAGTCGAGCGCCGCTGTCCGAGGTGCTGAACCGCGCTCGGCCGCCTCATTAAACCGCGGCGCGCCGCCGCCGCTGAGACACAAAGCGCTGCCTTGTGCATTAAAAACGGATCAGCCGAGCTATTATGAAGGCAGTAAAGTCGTGTTGTCTCCTTTTTTAATTTTGTTTTTAGAAGACACAGAAGCAAAATCTTTTAAGTGCTAAAAAAAAAAAATCAATCGAATCTCGAGAGGCTTAATAAAGTCGTAAATGTCACCCGGACCGATCGGCCTGTCCCGGCCTTCGGTAAAGACGAGCCGCACTGAGCCCCCGCAGCCCTGCGGCCCCCTGCGGTTTAATTATAAGGGATGTGCAGGGGAGGGTACGAAGCGCCCAGAACAGCAAAGAGGAAACGAAAAAAACACCGTCGGAGCCTGAGAGGTGGAGCAGCCAGGAGAAGGTGGTGGAGCGCGGAGCCAGGCGGCAGTCAGCGGGGTCAGTGACCCCCCGGGGTCAAAGGGCAGCCGGATCACTGGAAAATGAGCCACGAAGAGTCGGGAGGGCAGAAAGCGGCAGCACGCGCCTGAAATTACCCCCGCCTTCTCACCTCCACTTCCTGCCTTACAGCCTAACAGGGCGATTAGAAACCGTCAAATTAAATTGGCAGTAAATTTAATCACACGTGCAGCTCGCTCGGCGGTGGCAGGCTGGCAGGCTGTCTGACTGGGTGTCGTTTTCAAGGACTTTTGGAGGCAGGAGTGAGGAGGTGGGTTCAAAGCGAGGTTTAATAACGAGGAAGTAGAGCAACAGTACCTCATTCTCAAGATGAAAGCACTGCGCCAGGCAGCCCAGTGCATCGCAGCCCACAGGCGTGTCAGTCTAGAGACAGCCACAACATGCGAATCAATCAAATGATCCATTTCCAAAGTGTAGCTGATTTGTGCTCCAAACACCTACAACTCTTTGTGTAAAGAAGTGCTTCCAGTTGTGCTCCAGAACTGCGCTGTCTCTTGACTTTGACCTGTGTCACCTGCATCACCTTTGTCATCTGCATCACCTCTGTCACCTGCGTGTCACCTGCATCACCTGTCACCTGCATCACCTGCGTGTCACCTGCATCACCTGTCACCTGCATCACCTTTGTCATCTGCATCACCTCCGTCACCTGCGTGTAACCTGCATCACCTGCCACCTCTCTCACCTGTGTGCTACCTGCATCATCTCTGTCTCCTACATCAAATGTGTGTCACCTGCATCACCTGTGTCACATGGGCTCTCAGGGTCTTGTTGAGTTTTGGAAACAGTCAGTTCAGGATGGTGAGACGGCACCTCTGTCAAGGGGCTCCACACCCCTCCGGACATCACCCACAGACGTGCCGCTGGCGAAGAGACAATCACAGAAACACGGAGCAGGGGCCTGCACGGTGCCACGGCCTGTCTGTGTGGAGTCTGCATGTTCCCCCATGTTCACACGGGCTTGGGAGGTGGGGCTGGGAGGGAAGAGGAGCATGGTGGGTTGGGGGGCTCCGGCTCTGGAACAGCACAGAATTCAGTGACGTGGCCTTTGTGAAACGCTGATCCACGCGGCGCTATTAACGCCAAGGAGAGACCACGGCCACGCACGTCCACACGGCGGCCGCTGCCTCTCTGCTGCCCCCTGCTGTTTACACTTCCTTGTTTACTCCGTCTAGCCTGTGCTGTAGCAAGAAAAAGAAAACTGTTAGGTTGTTGGGTTCGGCGGATTTACATTCGGCGTTCACGGGGCGAGAGCGTGAAACTGAGCGACGGGACGCCAGGGCGCCAGGAGGACGAGAAGCAGGCCCGCGGCGGGAGACGGGCGGCGCTCTCACGCGGGCAGCCGGACTGCGGCTCTCAGCGAGCGCCACCAGGTGGCGGACTTGCGCGCCTGTGTGCCCGAGAAAACTGAATTGTATTACCCAACACAGCAAATTCGGTCAACCATCAGTAGCTTAATGTATATTTATGTGTGTATATACATGTAATAGCACATACATAAGTAAATGTAAAGAAAATAAAGATTACTGAGGTCTTGTTCAAAAACAAATTCACGTAACTGAGCAAAGCTCCGTTCTGTGCTGTAGCACCAGTTTTTTTAGATTCACACTTCTGTTTTCCAAGATTTAGTTCAGCAGTACGCCGGAGGTAAAGTCTTGACCAATTGGCACATCTGGTTATATAAAGGATTAAACAATACAAATCGTGGAGTTATTCTACACTGTCAATATATTAAACACAAGGTAATTAACTATTGTGGTTTTTGAACTGAACTCCCTTCATTCCAGATACACTCTCTCATCTCAGAAAGTGACCATTCAGATATCCTAGTGAAACATTTACTTAAGCTAAAGAAGGAGATCTGTGTTCTTCTGTCTTCTGGGCTGAACATGTCCTATTCTAGGCCCTTCACTCACTCATCTACTTGTCCACTCACTCATTCATCCGTCCACTCACTCATCCACCTGTCCACTCACTCATTCATCAGTCCACTCACTCATTCATCCGTCCACTCACTCATCCACCTGTCCACTCACTCGTTCATCTGTCCACTCACTCATTCATCCGTCCACTCACTCATCCACCTGTCCACTCACTCATTCATCTGTCCACTCACTCATTCATCCGTCCACTCATTCACCCACCTGTCCACTCACCCATTGACCTGTCCACTCTCTCGTCCACCTGTCCACTCACTCATTGACCTGTCCACTCTCTCGTCCACCTGTCCACTCACTCTTCTGTTTCTAAGTGATGGCAGCAGATGAAGGCACTGTGCTTTCAAACTGCATTATAGCCATAACTGGAAAGCTGCGTGATTATTTCAAGCCCAAGAATAGCATCAACAGAAAAAAGGGTACAACCATCAAGCACAAAAGGGAGCCGACTCAAACAACTGTTTGGCATTACTTGGCCTTGTGTGCTGTGCTGGACGTAATGTGAGAGTCAAGTGCCAGGTTGGCAGGCATTGATAATGAACTGGCAGGGTCCTGATCTAAACATGACAGGACAGCAGGGAACATATACTGTATATTAATAATAATAATAGCTTACACTTATATAGCGCTTTTCTGGACACTCCACTCAAAGCGCTTTACAGGTAACAGGGACTCTCCTCCCCCACCACCAGTGTGCAGCCCCACCTGGATGATGCGACAGCACCCATAGTGCGCCAGAACACTCCCCACACATCAGCTCTCAGTGGGGAGGAGAGCAGAGTGATGAAGCTGTGATGAAGGGGATTATTAGGAGGCCATGATTGGTAAGGGCCAATGGGAAATTTGGCCAGGACGCCGGGGTTACACCCCTACTCTTTTCAAGATACACCCTGGGATTTTTAATGTCCACAGAGAGTCAGGACCTCGGTTTTACGTCTCATCCGAAGGACGGTACCTGTTTACAGTATAGTGTCCCCGTTACTATACTGGAGCATTAGGACCCACATGGACCACAAGGTGAGCGCCCTGTGCTGGCCCCACTAACACCTCTTCCTGCTGGCCCCACTAACACCTCTTCCGGCAGCAGCCTTAGTTTTTCCCAGTAGGTCTCCCATCCAGGTACTGACCAGGCTCACACCTGCTGAGCTCCAGTGGGCTGCCAGGTGTGAGCTGCAGGGTGATATGGCTGCTGGTAATATTATGTACATATATGGTGTGTTTGAAGGCTGGGGCATCTGAAACATTCCCCTCAGAGTGTGGACTGACTCGAGGAGTAAAGCAGCACAGTGTCTGCAGAGGCACGTGTGACTGTGAGCATCTTCGTCAGAAGACATGTGGCTGCCATCTGAAGCACATTCCACTGAGCTGTGGTCACTGTGCCTCCGTCTCTCGGAGCCTCACCATGTGTGGACGATTACACAGACGCACCGGCCATTCATCGAGAAAACACCCCCCGGCCTCTATCAGAAATAACAGCCTTTGATACCACTACGCAGAGGCCTAATCACACACTCCCACAGACCTCCCCTGTTCCCTGTTCACACACTGGGCACTCTCAGTGCAGCCACACTCACTTTCACATTATAAATAGAATGTCACTGCATGATGAGAGCCCAGCCCAGTGATAGCCCTCCCAGTAGCTGCCTTCAGTCTCAGTGTAATAATAATAATAATAATAATAATAATAATAATAATAATAATGGGGACTACCTACCCCTACCACCAGTGTGCAGCTCCCACCTGGGTGGTGCGACGGCAGCCAGAGTGCACCAGGATCTCACCACCTCACCAAACACCAGCTATCAGTGGAGAACAGAGTGATGAAGCCAATTCAATTCATGGGGGTATTTAGGAGGCCATTACTGGGAAAGATCAGGGGGAAATTTGGCCAGGAAACTGAGTTCAAAGGGGCCATGTGGTCCACCTCTCCATGCAAAAGAACACAAACATACTTCCAGGTCAAAAACTCTCACGAGTAAACTCTCGTGAAGGACATTAAGTCTCCAATAGCACTGCAGTCTGATTCACTCCACGGTTTGCCATCAGCTCTGTATTCTTCTGCAGCTAAGCTAATACTAGTGCATTAGTGTAAGCTGGATACTTCATGCATGTGACATTCTGAGTGAATATCCACAGCAGAGGTCAAATGATATGAAAAACACACACATGATTTTCCCTGCCATAAAAAAAAGTACAGAGCCAGACTACACTGGACTGGGATGTGCATCTATCTGTCCTGGGCGTGATTTATCTGGACCAGAATTGAAGTCAACAAGCACCACTGTCCCACAGGAACCCCAGCTCTGCAGTATCTGGTAATAAGCAACTGGCTGTATTTTGTCATTTGGGTCACCTAAGGAAATACACTTAGATCAAAGCTGCAACCAGTGGGACCTGGATGAGATGTAGTGATTGCAAAGGTACTCTAGGACTGACTCAACAGCAGGTAATGAAACAGCCCAGGCTTGATCTCAGACGACAGCACTGGGCTCTTTAAAATGACTGGCTGTAGCTAGAGCCCACTGCAGCTTAGATGGACTGGAGTTGAAACACTTGATTTCATAATGCCTGAGGGCGCACCACAGTCCTTTACGTTCTCAGGCGTCTGTGAGGAGGAAGGGCTGGAGTGACAGGGCAGTGTTGCACAGTTCTGGGACTGTCCTGGTTCGCAGGCACCTCTGACATCCTCCGGTCCCCCGTCAGGAAGGCAGGAAAGGGACAGCCTACAGGATGTCCTGTCCTTCTGATTGTTCCAAGCAGCTATAAAGGTGGATAATTTGCCGGATTTATGGATACACTCCGGAAGGACTCTTGTTTGAAGTGTGATTGTTACTGTGATGCAGGGTGTTATTGTGTGTTACAGTTACAGTGCACTGCAGTATTGTGTGCAGTGGTATGTGTGTTACAGTGTGATTTTGGTGCAGGGTATTATTGTGTGTTACAGCTACAGTGCACTGCAGTATTGTGTGCAGTGTGTACTGTGTGTTACAGTGTGACTGTGGTGCAGTGTGCATTGTGTTACAGTGTGACTGTGGTGCAGTGTGTACCGTGTGTTACAGTTACAATGCACTGAAGTAGTGTGTGCAGTTTGTACTGTGTGTTACAGTTACAATGCACTGAAGTAGTGTGTGCAGTGTGTACTGTGTGTTACAGTGTGACCAATATAGACCGTTTAAATGTCTTATTGTGGTGTAGTGGTACACAGTGCTTCAATGTGTGATTGTGTGTTGTGGCGCAGTGTGTTACAGCCATTGTGTTACTGCGGCGCATGTTTCCGTCCACGAGCTCCTCCTGCTTTCTCTGGAATGCAGAGGGAAGCGCGCGCGGCAGAGCAGCGGGTGAGCCTAGCAACAAAGCCTCTCGGCCAATCACGGCGCAACAAGGAGCCAGTGCGTGGTGAGGAAGGGGCGTGGTTACGTGCTCGGTACGCACAGCGTGCCGACTATGGGGCGGAAGGGGAGCCGGGCCTGACAAACACTGTGTTGTGTTAGTGTAAGAGTAGGAGGGGAAAACTGGGATTTTTAAAAATCCTTAAATATTTACAGAAGAATTTCACGTCTTTACTATAACAACAACCCAGTGTGTCTAGATTTGAGCCGAGGCATATACATTAATCTGCTCAAATACGTTGCTGCAAGATTGCAGTTTGTACCCATGGCTACGCTTTTGCACTCCTGAACTGATGTATTCGGTACAAAATGTGAAGTTTTTGGGGTGTAGTCAATGTCATTAATTAAAAAACGAACTGCTTTGTAATATTTGGGAGAAACAAACTTTCTTCATCTATCTAAAAATACGCTTGTGTTCATACAAATATGGTTTGCAACAAAAGTTTTGCCGCCAAAAAGACGTGGGCTCTTACGTGCATTACAGAGACCTCTCGCTTCAAACCCGACTTCTTCCTGGTCTGTGCTGCAAAACCTCTTCACAGTGCACAGGTAGAAAATCGGGTATCATGGTAAAGCTGCGGAATTAGGTCCTGTTGAAGATTTATATATGTAAACAATATTACCCTTAAACGCATAACCGCACCCCATAAACGCAATTAAAAGCTTTTGGCACTTCACTGTCTGATGTGAATTTTTTATGAATTAATAATTCCGAGGGGGGCGGAGCCACCAAGGGAGTCAGTGCTGCTGAATGCGCGAAGGGCATTGGCTGTGTGGGCGAGGGGGCGTGTCCCCCGGACAGGAAGCTGGTCGGGGCTGGATTGATGGCCATGAATGAGCCTTCGGAGTGTTTGGGGAGGAAAAAGTCAGGCCAAAGTTTTCTACATTTTTTAGACATATAAACAAACCCTTTTAGCAACAAAAAGGGGGGAAAAAACATTCGTAGGCGGGCTCTCTTCGAGCACCTCCGGATGGAATCGAGCTATTCAAAGGCCAGAAGGATAACTGATTAAAAATGAGTTTAATTGTGCATTAAAACAGTCGGAAAGCAACGTGGTAAGTAGACAACTCAGCGAACCTATTTTACCTTTTCAAGCCGCCGAGGTGTGTACAGATGGTAAATGAAAATGCAAGAATGCCGTCTGAGAACTGTCGAACTGAACACGCTGCGGTTTACGAGCGTTAACGAACCACGTTCGGCCGAGCACTTCGGAACGACTCGCATCTGGGAAAGTCAAATGTTAATCGCGTCTTTTTTTTTATTTTTAAAAATGACGAGCCAGCCGAGATTCAAGCTGCCGTGGGACAAACGGCGACCCCGCGGCGACAGCCCGCAGGACGGAGGAGAGGGGAACCGGGCTCGAGTTCGTGTCTGCGGCCGAACTGCGGGAGGGGGCAGTTTGTTAGACCGGAAGGTGAACACGCAGCCCGGCAGCGCGACCCGGTTCGGGTGGCTGGACTGTTGAGGCGAGACCCCGAACCGCAGGTACCGGGGCTTGAATCCACCCCGGCCGACTGGTTAACAAAGGAGAAGTTGCGTCCCGGTCACCACGTGCTGGAGAAAGCCCCCGCGCTCGCGGCTGCCCCGGGGGAGGGAGGCCCGGGGGAACCGGCCTTCGGTCCCGCGTACTGACCGGGCTCCGTGGCACCCCAGCCCAGAAAATGTCGGACTCGAAATAATAACACAGCCACGCTTTTCAAAACTTAGTTGTGAGTCCGGCTGTGTTGGGCGGTCCCAATTTCGGGGACGCGCATTCGAGCTACCGGACTGGATTCCTCGGTTCGCTTCCTGGGAAGAGTCCGTTCGAAATGGAGCCGGGTCCGAACTCCACAGGGACCTCGGTTCCGGCTGCCTCGATCCCCCCCACCACGCTTCCGTCCCCTCTCCGAGTCCGGCCCGAAGAGGGGCTGGTCGTTTCCGAGCGCTGCTCTTGCCGGACATCCGCAGTGACACCGCCTGTACTGGTCTCTAGAAACCCAGTCGTCACCACCGCGGCCCGGGTGTTTCTGCGAGGTCTGAGCAGCGAGCTCTGCTGTCTGTACATCTAATTCAAAACAGAAACAGGCAGAGGGTAATTCCGTGGGAAAATGTTTGCTTGGTCCTTTGAAGCCAACCTACTGTGACTCAACTCCCCACTCGAAAGTATTTCAGTACAGGCTGCCTGTATCTGACCGCCTTAGAGTAATGTATATGTAGTGACCGATCATTTAATTATTCGAAAATGCAGAAGTCCATTCGGGACACACACGGGTGTCGATACAGAACATGTTTCCCTCCCCAGCACACAAACACCTTTGTGTTTTTTATTCTATGACACTTTCTATCGTGCTGATGGTCATGAATGAAGGCGTCAACAGTATTATCAGCAGCAGTTCCAGTTCAGACTCACCGGGTTTCTCAAGTTGGCGTAGCCAGGCGGTATCCGCACCGAGCCGTGTCTTACCAGTGCACCAGGTGACCTTGTGACCTCCTGGAAGAAGCCGGGTTTGTGCTGAGGAACTCGGGTCTCGCGGGTCGCCTGGTGACGAAAGCGACCCCTCCAGTAGGTGGCGCTATAAAGAAGAGGGTGGGTGTAAACAGTGGGTACAGACATTGAATAGACTTATATTTGGGTTTCCCTGTTTTCATCTGCGGGATATCACTGACTTCACACAGTACACCCCTGGTTGGTTTTGTCATGAGTCAGTGGCGGTGCAGAGCTTTAGGCCCGCTGGCCTGATTGCTGGGCTCCCTCCCGGCTAGGTTTGCTCGGAGATGGGGTGGGCCGTCTCCTGCCCCGCCCGGGAGTGGTCACCTGGCCTGGGTGGCCAGGGGCCGGCGGGGCTGTAGTTACAGGGCGGTCCGGGCTCGGTGGGGTGGGGGGGAGGCGACCCCTGTCAGCTTGTCCCTCCCTCTCCCTGCGCGACTGTGGCTCTCTCGCTCCCCTCAGGAATGCGCTGGTGACCCAGTTCTTGGCTGGCTGGAGCTGTAGGTCAGATTCCACAGGCCAGGGAATTCCAGCCGCCCGGCCCTGTGGTCAGGGAGGGGGACAGCGGGAGAGCGGCACTCCGTCGCCTGTGTGCCGCGGGGCTGTAGCCCGGTGTGCATTTGCGTCTGAGCTGCAGACGGGGAAGGTTCGGCCCGGGGTTGTGTCGGGGCTGATTCCAGAGCAGCAGCAGCGGTGCTGTTGCGTTGTGGAGGCTGTGAGGTCACAGGAGCCCTGTCCAGCAAGAGGAGGCCGTACAGCCCCTGTGGCAGCTGGGAGCTACCTGATCCGAGGGCCTCCTCTGGCCACGGCTCGTTCCACTCTCCCACAACCCCTGGGGTAAAGTAGCCTCCTGTTTTCAGTATCGAATCAACGCCCCTGTAGTGTCCGCTTGTCCAGGAGCTCGTGTTACCTGTGTTCATTCTGGAAGAAATCTGCGGGTGGACATTGCTAATGGCTTTGTGGATGTTGAAAACTTGTATCGGGTTCCCTCATCGTTTCCTTGGCCCAAGACTAAAGAGGTTCAGTTCCTGCAGCCGGTCAGCGTAGGACAGTCCCTGTCGTTCTCCTCTGCGCTGATTCTAGAGTGTGGTGATGAAAATTGAACAGTATTCTAAAATGAGGCCTTACTAACGCATTTTGTTATTTTAACATCCTTTGATTTAATTTCTGTGCTTAACTTCTAGTCCTAACATTGTTTTTAGAATTGCTTCCCCGCAGGGTCTAAAAGATCTAAATGTGTCACCATAAACACTGGAGCTGGAGTTTTTTAGTTTGCTACCTGTTTGTGACACAAAGCGCTTGTCTACATTGTCTCCAAAGATGTGAACATAATGAAGATAAAAAATATAAAAAATCAAAGAAAGCATGAAGAGGGAAAATGAGGAATTGCAAAAGATACACAAAATAAGCTAAAGCAAATAGACCGAACAGTTTTAAAATCACCTCCTTTAATGGAAGTGATGGCTTTTGGAACTACATTTCCCAGAAGTCTGGGGGAAAGAGGGAGGGGATTGGAGCCCCAGCCTGTCTCTCATCGTCGCCCTCTGTCTGCCAGGCTGGGAATGGCGCAGGAGAGCGTGGTCCAGTACGAGCCGGTGGCGGAGATCGGGGGAGGCGCGTACGGGACGGTGTACAAGGCGCGGGACCGGCAGAGCGGGCAGTTCGTGGCCCTGAAGAGCGTCCGGGTGCAGACGGACCAGGACGGGCTGCCGCTGTCCACGGTGCGGGAGGTGGCCCTGCTGAAGAGGCTGGAGCAGTTCGACCACCCCAACGTGGTGAAGTGAGACCTCGGCCGCCGCCGCCGCCGGCACGCACGTGCGCGCACGAACCCCCATGCCGTGTCCCGGTCCGGCCCGGTCTAACAGTCTGTGTGTGCGTGTGTCTGCGCTGCAGGCTGATGGACGTGTGCGCCACTCTGCGGACGGACCAGGAGACGAAGGTCACCCTGGTGTTCGAGCACGTGGACCAGGATCTCAAGACCTACCTGGACAAGGCGCCGCCCCCCGGCCTTCCGCCCGACAGGATTCGGGTAAGGGCAGCCCGCCTGGCCTGCAGGCCCCGCCCCTCTTGGCGATCCTGCCGCGGGGTCCGCGAGCTGGCGAACACCCCCACAGCGTCTCTCTCCCCCCGCTCGCAGGACCTGATGCAGCAGCTGCTGTGCGGCCTGGCCTTCCTCCACTCGAACCGCGTGCTGCACCGCGACCTCAAGCCCGAGAACATCCTGGTGACGAGCCGCGGCCAGGTCAAGCTGGCGGACTTTGGCCTGGCGCGCATCTACAGCTGCCACATGGCGCTCACGCCCGTGGTAAGAGCCGGCAGTGCGCCCCCTGCTGGGCGGGTCGCATGTTGTTCCTTTAACCTCGCGAGCTGGTGCAGCTGCGTGTGTTTGACACGCCTCTCTGGCTCCCCCAGGTGGTGACTCTGTGGTACCGCTCCCCGGAGGTTCTGCTCCAGTCGTCCTACGCCACGCCGGTTGACATCTGGAGCACCGGCTGCATCTTCGCCGAGATGTTCCGCCGCAGGTGGGTCTTGGCCCTGGGTTCGAGTCAGGGTGGGATGTCCGCCGGGACCTGGGTTCGAGCAGGTGGAGGTTTCCACTGTCCACAGCGGAAGCCTTGCTGGTGTTTGTCAGGGGTGAATCAGTAAGGGGGGGGGCTAATAAATGTGCTTAATTTGATTAGCGGGGGTAAGATTGGGGTTGTGGGAATTCTGACCCATCCAGCCTGTCTTGTTGTGAGTGAAATACGACTGGCGATTGTAACCAGCTGTGACCTGGAGCCTCAACAGCATGACTTCTCGCTCCAGAACCCCAAAACCGCTAATCCCCCTTGTACGCGTCTCCCGCTGCAGCCCTGGGGCGCTCTGGCCTCAGCTGGGGGCGGGGCAGTTGTGTGGGGCAGTGTTGCACTGCTGTTAGAATGGGAGGCATGTCTTTTTCCAGGTATTATCTCTGAGAGCTGTAACTGGGTTTTCCCTGGTCTTGCAGACAGGTTCCCAAGCGAGCCTGGGCTCATCCTGTCTTAGAGAAAGTGGGAGGTGCGTTCTGTAGGGTTCGCTGCCAACCCGCACAACGATTCCATTTAACTGTTTCTTGTCGAATTTATCTGCCAAATGGTTTGGCTGTAGCTCTCTTCTGCCATCCTGTGGCCAGTGGGGGCACTGCAGCTCTGCAGCCTCCGTGTGGTTTTCAGATAAAAGAGGCCCAGCAGGCTTCTTCTCTTATCTCACAGCAACAACCTCAACGGCCAAACCAGAAAACAGTGCGTCAGCCCAGTTTCCGTTAGACATGAGCGGTGTGCTCGTAGCGCTGTATTGAAGAGCTGAATCCTACAGCTTTTCGAATATCACGGAGGGTACAAACGAGAGGAGGCCAAGAAGACGGCAGAGCCGTGCCGTGCCGTGCCGTGCTGAGTCTTGTACACAGCAGTTAGAAAACCTGGATCCCGCTCCTCATTGTGGTTGGATACATGAGCCCCACGGCTCATGGTAAAACCTGGACTGGCTCACACTGCTGCGCACAGGGAGTCTGATTGCTTAACCAGCAGGTGGCGAATGTGTCCATCAAGGGGAAAGTTCATTTCCTGAAGTGCAGTCCCGTCCCTTTGACACGTGGTAAAAATATTTCCTCTTCAAGGTCCGTGGTTAAGGTCCCATGATTTGCAGTCCAGCTGAGCACATTTCAGAGGAGGAACAGGCAGAGCACCACTACAATACTGAATGTGCTCATCTGCCCCTGTGTCCAGAGCAGCCCACAGGGGCCTGGGGCAGGAGTGTGCTCATCTGCCCCTGTGTCCAGAGCAGCCCACAGGGGCCTGGGGCAGGAGTGTTCTCATCTGCCCCTCTGTCCAGAGCAGCCCACAGGGGCCTGGGGCAGGAGTGTGCTCATCTGCCCCTGTGTCCAGAGCAGCCCACAGGGGCCTGGGGCAGGAGTGTGCTCATCTGCCCCTGTGTCCAGAGCAGCCCACAGAGGCCTGGGGCAGGGGTGTTCTCATCTGCCACCCGGTGTCCAGGGAGCCTGCAGAGGCTTGGGGCAGAAGTGTGCTCATCTGCCCCTGTGTCTAGGGAGCCTGCAGAGGCCAGGGGCAGAGAGCTACAGCACAGACCCTGACATCATTTATTTCCTTTTTTTAATAGTGTAATGTTAGCATGCCCAAAGGGGTTGGGCAGCCAGTTAACCTTGGACCCCTAGAGGCTTTTTTTCTCCTTACTAAGGAGTTTCTGGTTCCTCTCCTCTCTTGTCTTCTGGTCTTCTGTTCTGTATTCACAACATGTATGGTCACTTGCTATGTTAAGCGCCTTGGGGCAACCTTGTTGGGAAAGGCACTATATAAAAATGAATTGAATCTGGACCTGTATTTGAAGTCTTGACTGAAAGACACCCCCTGGAGGTTCAGTATGTCAGTCAGGGGAGACCCCCAGTGAGGTGGGGCTCATCGGAAGTGCTGCACATCAGATACGGGGGACATATCAACTGTACTAATACGTCTGCCCAAAAGTGTCGGGATGGCTCCCTAAAACAGTCTCCTTCTCCCTCCCTCCCCCAGGCCGCTGTTCTGTGGAGACTCGGACGTGGACCAGCTGGGGAAGATTTTTGAGTAAGTGTGAGGCACGATGAGAGCTGCCAGTGGTAACTGGAGTTTCTTCGTCTCCCAGTTCAGTTCCAGTTGGCAGAAGGACTGGTGTTTCTGGTTGGCTATGGGATTCCTGTGTTCGCTGAATGTGATTGGCTGACGGTTGTCTTCACAGCAGGCAAGCCCTTCTGTCTGGCGGTGCTTGTGATCTGGTTGGCTGCTGTTTTCCTCCCTCGACATTTGATTGGTCAGTAACTTTCTGTCTCCCTCTCTTGTCCCAGTGTGATTGGCCTGCCGCCGGAGGAGGAGTGGCCTGCTGAGGTCACACTGTCGCGGTGTGCCTTCAAGCCACGCGGCCCCCGCGCCATCACAGACTGTGTGCCTGAGATCAGCCACCAGGGGGCGAACCTGCTGCTTGTGAGTGGGTGGGGGGGCGAAGATGGGGTGGAGGGCGGCGTGTTTCAAATATATTCATTCCATTTAAATTAGAAATGTATACATCAAACTCAAAAAGAATGGTGGCCTATATCAAGTACAAGTGAGAATTAAATGATATAGTTGATCCAAGAAAAAGCAAGCAAAGATTTATATGAAGGCAAGTCGTATAGTTGCGTACACAGGACGTAACCCTTTTTATATAGTCTTTAAATAATCCTGTCCGTTTCTGGCCGGCCAACCAAACCAGCCGCCTGTGCGTCATCGTCGTCGTGTGCTGTTTTCCAGGAGATGTTGACCTTTAACCCCCTGCGGCGGATCTCTGCCCTGAACGCGCTGGAGCACCCTTACTTCCAGGAGGGGTGACCGACGATCAGCTGGGAGACGGGGGGTGTCGTGGTGACCGGTTGGGGGGGAGGGGGCCGAGGGGACATTATTCTTATCCAAGGTGGGAGTGCAGGAGACCGAGACCCTCAGTGCACAGCAGTCGGACTCGACAGACTGCAGGGGGCTCCGGTGAGCCCAGCTGGGTGCGGTGCTCCTTGTCTGTGAGCTCATCTGCATTTTCATTCGATATATTCGCTTTTTTTTTTTTTTTGCCTCATGGGTTGCAGCCTTAGCAAGATGCTCAAGTTGTTTCTACATTCTGGTCCAGATCCCAGTTCCTCAGGGCTTCCCCCTGTCCTGCTCTCCTCTGCCACCGGTTCTCTGCTGCAGTGAGAACTCCTCTCGGGAGAGTCTCGCCCCCTTCTGGCCCACGGTTCAATTCAGTAATTAAGCCTGCTCGATAAGGTTACCTGATTAAGAGCTGAGCTGGATGGGAAAGCAGGAGACAGTGGGATACTCCAGGACATGGACACTGGCCCACCTGGCCAAACTGCTGTGCAGGGGGAGTCCTCATGCATCTGTCTCTGAAGGGGGGTGCAGGTCAGAGGTTCTGGGACGTCGGGATGGTGGCGATGGGAGAGGGACTCTCGCTGCATGGGGGTGTCAGGGCAGTATTGACCATGACCACAAGTGCCCCTCAGATTTCGCACACTGCCACCTGTTCAACTTACAGGCTGTACAATTTAATCATATATTATATATATGTTTCTAAAGCATTAATAAACACATTCAGCTCTTTTATATCTTTTCTTACATTTTTTTGAATCATGCATGTGGTTGGGAGGAGTTTTGCAAGTGTTTGGACAGTGGGGGGTTCTCTGACTGGCCTCTTTGAGGAGTCCGTGAGGGGGGGGGTGTCTCTCAGAGTCCCATCTGGAGGGACCGTGGGGGTTGTCTGATCGCCCAGCTGGAGGGACCATCGGGGGGGGTGTCTCTGAACACCCCAGCTGGAGGGACAGTGGGGGGTGTCTCTGAACGCCCCAGCTGGGGGGACTGTGGGGGGGGATGTCTGATCGCCCAGCTGGAAGGACCATCGGGGGTGGCGGGTGTTTCTGATCGCCCAGCTGGAGGGACCATCGGGGGTGTCATCAGTTCTGCAGCGAAGGGACCCTGCAGGCGCGTGCAATGGGGCGCTGTTGTCCACCTGCTGCCGCCTCCACCTTCCTGTGGTGCGATAGTGCTGGAGCCGCACACAGGAAGTCATTGAGCACCGTCACACCAGCAGCCGAGGCTCCTGGGAAGATGCATAAAAACCGATAAGATCATGTGAAGACACTGGTTCATTTATTAAGTCAACACTAAAACCGATTAGATTCCCATTGCACAGTAGCTTGATCCATTACAGGTTTTACCTGCACAAACAAGCTGTTCCACTAATTCCACGTAACATCCTGTGACTTTGCGTGTTAACTGTCATTTGGACTTATGTTTTAGAAACAGTGCCATTGCACATATGCAAATATTGTTTGATTATTTTACTTGCAAAGTGTGATAACTAAAAGACCACCTATAGCATATTAAGAGCTGACAACAGTCAGCCAGTTCAAACAAGGGTTTCGTTGTGTAATTGAGAGCCGTGCTGGAACAATACCAGTAGGTATATGTAGAATTGTAATGCCCCAGCACAGCTGTTCACCCTGTGTGGTCAACTTGTCTTCTGGTCATGCCAGCCTGGACTCTTAATCAATTAATTTGTCTTTATTACCACTGTTTCTGGGTCATTAGTAATGGAGGATTGTAAATTACCTATAAAACATGAATTGACAAGGAGTGAATTTGACAATAAGACCAATGATCTGACCCAGCTATTGGTTTAATTGTTCCTTGGCCCCTAACTGAAAGTCAGGGCCATTCCTATAGACCTGATCTGTGATCTGCTTGCCCACTCATGTGCCCAGCCAGCAGTTTAATTCATTAAACTAATTACTCCTATTGTCACGATTAATAAGGCAAGCTTCTTACCTCCTCGCAGAGCGCCACCTGGAAGCAACTGCCCATTTTGTATCACCTCTTCCTGTTTCAGAGACAGGCGCTTGCCTGACTTCCCAAAGACCAGGGGATTTCTGGAAATTCGGTTTTCCCAGACTTTTTCCCCAGCGCTCAAAGCAAAAGGCACAGGCCAGGAGATTTGTTTTATTGTCTCTTTATTTAATCTTTAATTACTATTTACACTTCAAAACTGATGCCTAAAAACAGGGAAATCAGGCAGGTGGGAGGACGACTGCAGGGGGGAGCTGCCAGTCGGACACAGAGGAAATTAAACAGGAAGTGACAGGAGCATCCAGCCCTGATCCTGGTCCCACTAGTGCAGATTAACAAGACCTGTGACTGAGGGGACCCCCTCTCTAATCAGTACTTAACAAGCAAAACCAGCTGGTTATGATCTTAACTGGGCCAGTTCAGCAGCTTCTCTCGGCTCTTCTGGTGTCACTGCTGCTCTAAAGAGACGTGAAACACTTCCAGGTACACTGACCACCCCAGCACCAGGACTGGACACCCTGCAGACACACTGACACCCCCGGGCCCAGGACTGGACAATGCTGCTTCAGTACATCAACACAAGCTACTGGACTAACAAGGAATGACTTAACTGCCGTGCAGCAGCTATAAAACTAACCCTGTATCCTGTGACTTAATGTATTTGAACTGTCATTTGGCTCAAAGCAGATGCATGCCAGACCCTCTGTAGCTGCAGGCATGCTTCCATTAGCACTGGAACTGTCCACAATACCTCCGGGTCCTGGTTCCACATAATTCTTCATCCAATCTTTCCCCGTCCACCAGTGGGTTTTCTGGGTCTCTCTTTGAATCAACTACAAAAAGACTTATAGATCTGGGTTATATTAAACCAATTAAGTCTTGAGTGAGGCCAATAACAAAACTGTTCCAGTCTTGTGCTGGTAATGTCTTAAAGAGACCTAGAAAAGCTGGACTGTGGCCCCAAGACCCCCAAGTTGGGGAGCCTGGTCTCTTGGGCACTGAGGCTACAGAGGGAAGCCTGTCCCACCCCCCAGAGAGCAGAAGCCCTTGTCCTCTTGACACCAACATTGGCAGCAGAGCAGGTGGCGCTCACCTTGTTACAGTGTATTCATGGCAAAATCAGGAATCACAACAAAATGCACCATTAAAAAAATATTGATGACCGCACAAAGGGAAGAGATGCAGGAAGGGGCTGTGGAGGGCAGGAGCTGCCCAGCTGTGCCACCTGGCATTCATACCCACTGCTTGTCCAGCGACATCACCAGAGCTGCCTGGACAGGAGCCCCGTTTCCCCACCAGCCCCCAGGGCACCAAGAGGGCCTCACGTCTACAGCAGGCGGTTATCCCTTCCATTAGTGGAGGCTGGAAGGATCATCCAGGAAGTAATGAGTGGCTGTGAAGCCAGCTGTTAATTTCCCAACTGACTGGCTCACGGAACAGAGCTGGACCGGAAGGAAATCTGGCCATTCCTGTACCCCCGCCAGGAGCAGCTCTGGAGACGCTGGGAATAATGGGATTGGGCAGAGCTGGAGATGGCAGGATGGGCCGGAAGGGCCCACACTTGACTGCGCCCCATTTTCCACATCAGGTCCCCCCTCCTAGCTGCCCCCGCCTGCCCGGCTAGGAGCACAGAAATGCCGGAATTTCACTCCCAGGGCCATCAGCGCGCTGCGAGGTCACGGGGAAGGACTGGGCAGCCCGGACTGGAACCCGGGACAGGGGGAGAGGAACAGACGCGACTCGCCCTACGAGCGCTAAGTTAAGACAAAAATTAAAGTTAAGAATTTTGTCAGAAATGAGAAGCACTTAATAGCAACACCATGGAAAAACATCAAACTTGAGCACTTTATCACATTAAAAAGAAACGATCTCCCTCACTGTGAAAGCCACTCCCAGATGTGGCAGAACAGCACTGATCATGAGGACCATGATGAAGACAGCTGCCAGGACACCAGTGGCTTCTGGCTTCCCATCCAACACAGACTCATCCAATTACGTACAGCCTTAATGAATCCCTATGAGGCCGAGGGACTGGGGTCCTGTAGGAGCAGTGCAGGCCCGAGGAAACAACCTGGCTTATCATATGGGTGGTTTGGCCCGTCCAGTCCAGCACATCACACACCTCGGATCCTTGCACTGGATTACGGAACTGACCATCAATTGCTTAATTGCCCCTGGAGTCTGGAGTGGTAAAGCTGGAACGGATGCAATGTGCAACAGAGCAGAGGAGTCAAGGTCACCCACCCCTGGCCTCGCCCCTGCCAGCTCAAACTTTTAACAGCCCGCTCAAACTAATTATTGGCTAATTAAACTGGACCAGCTTTTAATGCTGATTTAACAGAAGCTTTAACGAATGTTGAAAAGAAGCCTGTTGGTACTGGAGTCGGACACCCCTGTTCCAGCTGATCTGTTCTGTTCTGGCCAGCAGCAGCAGCAGTCAGGTAAGCAATTTCACAGCGGCAGCGTTGGGGAATAAACATCACCTCCATTAGGATTAATTACGCCTGTAATTGCTTAAGTAATTAAGAAATCGCAGGTTCAGTTGGAACGAGAACCAGGAGACTGCAGCTCGAGACAGAAGCCCTGGATTAAACAGTAAAGCCCTCCTGACAGTTATTCCCAAGCAGGAGCTTAAACTCCTTGGAAAACCTGTGGGACTCTGGGCGGAGGAGAGGGGACAGTCCTGCTGGACTGAAAGCCCCCAAGCAGAGGGGCAGGAAGGAGATGGCCGGGGCTGCTTCCCTCAGCGGCGCAGGGCAGCCACGTACCCGGACGATCACACACAGCAGCGACTGTAGACCCCCCCGCCAGCTCCCAGAGGCCCACAGCGTCTGTGCCAAACCCCAGCCTCCCCCATTCCTAATTGATCGGGCTACAGGACCGATCGGACAGCCTGACGCACTGCCCTCCCCAGGTTCCAGAATGCGTTTTCAGAGGGCAAACGTACCTCGTGTCAAGAGCGTCTCCATCAGCAGCAGCACGAGGCCGCAGATTAAACACGATAACAAGGGTCAGAAACGCCCCACCTCCCGTGAAGACAACAAGATCCGTTAGTCCGGCTGAAAGCGGAGAAGATTCCGGCCCGAGCAGCGCTGCAGGCAGGCCGTCGGACATCCTGGCTGGTTCGCCACACAGGAAACAGTCTCCTCGCATCGAGGATGGCGCAGATGGTGGTGGGGGGGGGTAGGTGTTGGCACTGCAAACCCCAAGGGTGGTGGGGCGAGGTGGGGCAGGACTGGAACAGTGAGCCTTGCCATCATGCACAGGGGGACAAAGCAAGCAGATCCCTTGGCCTCCTTCCTTGCCTGCGGGCCTGACCTAGCGTGCTTCCAGGCTGCCGATGCCAGGTCCGGTACCATGGGGCTCTGCCACGCAGAGGTCTCCAGCCCTGGTCCCGACTCAACTCTCCACTGCTTGCGTCCGCCAGCGAGACCGGCTGGAGCTGATCCAAGGGAAGGCCTCAACGAAAGCTGCAGGCCTTGGCACTCGCCCGCGCCAGGGCTGGACACCTCTCTGTGGCGGAGGACGTACGGGTGGGCGATCCTGCGCCACCCCGGGCTCAGGAAGAGGCGAGGCTAACTACGGAGGCTGTGCCGGAAGGGTGCCTATCGGTGTGTTTGACTGTGTAGGTGTGAGAGTATGGGCGTGTTTCTCGTGTGTCTGTGTGCGCTGGACAGCCTCCTATGTGCGCGTCTTTAGCTACATGACTGTGTGTGTCTGCCGGTCTGGATAGCTGGGTAACGGTGTGTGCGCGTACTTGACGACCTGTCCAGTGGGGTGTGAGCGAATGTAAAGGGGTCACTATAGGAAGGCACTGGGATTCGCTCTGGGATCCTTCTGGTTTCTGTATCGCACAGCCAGCCACACCCCCAGGATCTGAAACACGAAGAGGACAAAACTCAGTGCGATGAAAGGGAGACTCCGAGACGGTTCAGCTATCGAGCGCGCGCGGCTGGGGGAGACCAGCCCAGCCCCAGGCAGACGGACCTCCGTGAAGCTGAAGAAGAGCCCCACGCCGCCCAGGATCTGCAGCGCCTCGGTGGAGTGCTGGAGCATCTTCTCCCCACAGGTGTGGCAGGACGCCTTCAGCTTGCATTCCTGGAGCGAGAGGGAGGGCAACCGCGTCACCCACGAGATCAAAATTCGCAACAGCCCCCGGCCGGCGATCGGCGGCCTCGCCGGCGCGCTGGCTCACCGCGTGGCAGGCGCCCACGTCGTTCAGGAACTGCGCCTGCGCCTCCGTGGTGTTGAGCAGGCCGCAGCAGTTCAGCCGCGTCTCCAGGTCCTGCCGGGTGGCGTTACCCATGATGCCCCAGGTCGAGTTCAGCAGCTTCACCTGCGCAAAACACACGGAGCCGTCACGGGGGCGGGAACGCGAGGGCGAGACCCCCGAGGCACCAGATCAGCCCCCTCCGCTCTGGGGAGAGGGAAGGAGCAAACGGGGGAACACACAAGCGTATGAGAGGGGTGTCGATGCGGCTAACTCACCTGCTGGTCCCGGTTTATGGCTAGGCAGGAGCAGGACACTCCAAACTGAAAGAGGAAGACGAGGAAGAGGATGACCATATACTGAGAGAGAGAGCCAGGTCAAGGAACACAGACACACCACCTAGCAGTTCAGCCACGCAGGGCACAGAGAAGGACACAAGTACACTAACAAACAAGAGGAGGTCTTGTGGCCCGACGCAAGGACCTCCTCCAGCTGGTCCTTGAAGCGCCTCGGGGAGCTGGCAGCTTGTTATAGACACCCCCCACCCCTTTGCATAAAGAAAGGCCTCCCATCCCAAGTCTTATACTCAGGAACCAATGGTGACTTCCCCGTAACCCTCCACCCCAACATGAACCCGAGGTGCCGCCGGGTGCTGGGGGGCTCGGCTCGGGCGAGGCCGCCACCAGGGAGAAAGGATACAAAGAAGAGCATGACTTGGTGGTGGTTGATGGCACCGATCAGCCCGACCACGGCGATGAGCAGCAGGAAGACACCCACAGCGATGACCCCGCCGATGATGTGGATGCTAGACACGATGCCGAAACCCTTCCCCCAGGCTGCCACGCCAATCAGGAGCAGCCCCACCAGCTGGAAGACACACAGAGGGACACATGGCAACATCCAGAACAGCACACATACACTTCTGAAGCCTTCACGTGAGGCTGCTGACAAAGAGGGAGGTGAGCTACTCTTCAGGAAGGCATGTAGACCGATTGAAACTGTGGATACTTTCAGAAGAAGGACCAAAGGCGAACTGCCTTCCCTATTTCATCTGTCACACAACAGTCAGCAGCCACATCACCCTGCAACTCACACCTGTCAGCCCACTGAAGCTCAGCAGGTGTGAGCCTGGTCAGTACCTGGATGGAGACCTCCTGGGAAAGACTAAGGTTGCTGCTGGAAGAGGTGTTAGTGGGGCCAGTAGGGGGCGCTCACCCTGCGGTCTGTGTGGGTCCTAATGTATATAGCGACGGGGACACTATCCTTCAGGATGTCCTGACTCTCTGTGGTCAGGAAAAATCCCAGGACACTTCTCAAAAAGAGTAGAGGTGTAACCCCAGCATCCTGGCCAAATTTCCCATTGGCCCTTATCAATCATGGCCTCCTAATAATCCCCATCTCTGAACTGGCTTCATCACTCTGCTCTCCTCCCCACTGAGAGCTGGTGTGTGGTGAAAGTACTGGCGCACTATGGCTGCTGTCACATTATCCAGGTGGTGGAGGGGAGTTCCCATTACCTGTAAAACGCTTTGAGTGGAGTGTCCAGAAAAGCGCTATATAAGTGTAAACAATTATTATTAACAGACTTGGATGCTGAGACTCTCTTAAGGTTCTGCACCAAGATCTACCAGCGTCAAACATGAAATAAAAACAGACTGGGCTACTCCCTTCAGAGATCTGGCAAAACCCAATTACAGGGTTGCTCGCGACAAGCGAGGGAGACAGCGTGTTGAGCAACACAGAAAGAAGAACTGGAAAGTGCAAAGTACAGACCGTGATACATCAGGAACATGTGACCCTAGTTCAACAACCCGAGATCACAGTGGACACATGGCCAACTTCCTACGCCTCTCTCAACTCTTTCACTCACAGCCGATTCTCACACGACCATACACGGATTCTTTCTGCGAGAGCTCAAAACCACAAGAACAGTCACCAGCTTCGTGCACCGCTCCTCCAGAAGGCCTCGCTGGCGGGCTAGATCGCCACCTCCCGGCCAGCGGAGCCACAGAACAGCCACAAGGCCTTCACCTCGACAGGGCAAGCTGGGCCCACAGAGGGCTGGGGGGGGGGTGGGGCGCTCCCCCATCAAGACGCCGTCCCACAGCCGCTCACACCTCGACTCGACCGGCGCTCTCGGCCACTACCGGAATCGAACCCGGGTCTTTGTCAAGCACAAAGCGCGCAACGGAGAATCCAGTCTCACACCCGGTTCTCCCTCGGTCTCCAGTCCAGCCCCACACAGACCGGACCATGCAGAACACTCGGCTCAGCCCGGGAATCAGCACCGGTCACTCACAGCTACGGCCAATGGACTGCAGGAGGACTCCAGCGGAAGGAAAGGAAGGAAACACTTTTTAATTAGACTAGAAATGAATGGAGTCCCTGTGTAGCGGAGTCATTTGGATACGATGACGTCATCGCCCTCCCTGGGCGTAGCAGGGACCTCAGCCGCCTGGGCTGGGGGAGGTCTCCTTTAGCTCACTCGGCTGGTTCCCCGTTACGCCGGAGACCCGGGATCGCGCCCCAGGGGTTGCAGGACGAACCGGCGGGGTGGAGCGGCGAGGGCACGAGCCCGCGCGGAACCGCCACGGTCACACCTACACGTTTTAATTAGGCTTGAAATTACAGTGCCGCCCCTGACCGAACCTACAAGGGACTTCCAGTGTCTAGTCTGGGCGATTAAATCAATTACTGACGGAAGGAGTTGGCAATCAGCACAGAGACGTCCCCGGTCCCCAGAGGTCAGGCGGGAAACAGAACCCATGAGCTCTGGGTCTGTTTGTTTCCATTAAAAAAAAAAAACATTTTCCCTCCTGTCACGGGAAAAGGATTAAGAATCCTGATGCACGGCTAAATAATGAAGCTCTTCTGTGGCAACAACCATCCTTAATGAGCCCCTGCTGTCACTCACAAGTATGACGGCCTTACAGTCATGCTCCCAGAGGTCTCTGCGTCTACCCTGAGCGCACGTATGGAGCACACTGAGACACTCAAGGTTTTAAGCTGCTCTGTGCTGAAGCCAATGATAGGGACCATGTCCTGTGTTTGAGCATTAGAGGATTTTAGCTTATTAATTATCATTAATAATAAGCTTATGAAGGAAGCTAATTAATAATAATAATTAATAATAAGCTTAGGTCTTGGGAAAGTAAGGGCAGAAATGGACAGCGGACCAGTCCAGAGAGAGGAGGACAGGGCTGAGCTGAAGGCTCAGGTCATTAGTAACGCAGCTGCCCCCCGCCAGCAGACCCTGGACTGCGGGACAGCGCTCAGGGGTCTTGACCCGGGACTCCCGTCTGGGAGGTTGTAGGTTCAGGCAGGGCTGAAGACTCTTTAACCGAGAGTCTGCTCGGCATCCGGTCGCATAAACTACATTCCGCTGATCCGATAAATACCCAGGCCGTTAACGAGAGTTTGGAAAGGATCAACCGCAAAACCTACCACGACTGTTTTCAAATGAACTGTCGTGTCACTGACGGTTTTGCCACAGGAGACGGAGGTACGCTTCCATTTCCTGCGCACCCAACCGTCTTACGGACGACACCGATCACAGCCGAACCGGACCAGAGCAGCGCCACGACACCGCTGGGCTTGAACTCAAACGACGCGAAGTCAGAAGCCAGCACCCCGATCTGCCGGCCACCGCTGACCACCAAACACTGTGGCCAGTCTCCGCTGACGTCACCCCGGACAGAGGACACTCTCCGTTACTCTCTGCGGGCCTGCGATAACCTCTGCCACTGCTGAGAACAGCAACGCCTCGGTTTTCATAGACTAAAGGTCCACTTTATTTAAAAAAAAAACAACGATTTATTTTCGCAAACGACTCTGACATGGTCGCCGGATACTATTCTCCTAACTCGCAGGTTTTTTTTTTTTACTGGCGTCTCTAGACAGAGAAGCAGTGGTTATTGCTTCTGTTCGAGGAGATGAGGGTTGTCTGTACAATTCAGTTCGTGACGGGATTTTCATTTTCAGCGCTTGTGGACAGTCCCTCCACCTGGAGAGAGACCCAACCCACCAGCGGTAAGGAAATCACTGCCGCGCTAGTGAACTGGACCTTCACCCGAACAGAGGAACAACAGAGCAGGCTGCGTTAGCCTCCATACTCACCATATAAACCACGTTAAGGGAGCAAAGCGCATTTTTTGAGCACGTAAATCCGCCGCAGACCATCTTCGGAACTCGATTTATAAACTCTCGAATGTAAAGGAACGGTATTTACTGGCTTAAATAACGCTTACTTTGTCATCTATTGATCTATAGCCCAGAGACGAAACCAATCCCAACCCGTAACAGGGAGAGGCACTGTCTCTTTAAATCTGCAGAACGGATTTCCTCCCTGCTGCCGTCAACCTCCTGCCGAATTATTGGGTGAGGGCCCTGTCACTCATCATCATCTCCCGCCCCCCGTTTCCCGCCGGTCAATAAAGAGCTCACTCACCTCACGAACGTCATCGCGGACCTCGAGCGAGACTCTCGAATGATTGGTTGGAAGAAGCGTCGGTTAGACCACCTTGGGGGCTCTTATTGGTTACCATAACCTGTGGGGGGTGGAGCCATCCGGGAGCAACCTTTTGTTTAAGCCCTGTTTCTGATTCTCATTGGCTGCACTCCGGCCGTCAATCTTAGCGGGGGGTGGCATGTTGTGCAGCGAAGCGTACCGTTACATACAGTACGTGATACATCACGAGTGTGGACTGCATATAAATAGATCAAGAATATTACGTTGAATGGCATCTTAAGAAATGTTCTGTGTTGTGTCTCTGGGTTGATTGGGCGATGAGTTGCTCACAGCCCAGGATTCCAGCTAGAGTGTGGTTTTCTCGGTAGTGAAAGTTGCTGATTTTTTTAACTTCTATGGCACCTGCTCTCCTGTGGTGTTAATGTTAATATTGACTCGGCACATAAGCCCCCGGCCCTGACCTCCATACTGCTGTGTTCGTGACTGCTCTGTTTCGTGCTAGGTGTTGTGTCCCACGCACACGTTACTTGTGTTTATCCGACTGCAGGAATAATAATAATAATAATATAATTATAATAATAAAACTACGCGCACACTATGAATTAACTACGCAGTGACCTGGATGAGATCTCTGGACAGTGGAAAGTCACTTTCTTTTCCTGAACCGAGTGAGCAAGTGTCCGGGCAGAGAAACGTGACCCACACCACAACAAAAGCCTCCCTTAAACAATGCAGTTCAATCTGTACGGTAATTAGGCGTGGCTCTCCACACGTACAGTTTGTCTCCCTAGTACATGATAAACTGAATTAACACAGCCAGCAGCCATATCACCCTGCAGCTCACACCTGGCAGCCCACTGAAGCTCAGCAGGTGTGAACATGGTCAGTACCTGGATTAGAGACCTCCTGGGAAAAACTAAGGTTGCTGCTGGAAGAGGTGTTGGTGGGGCCAGCAGGGGGCGCTCACCCTGTGGTCTGTGTGGGTCCTAATGCCCCAGTACAGTGACGGGGACACTATACTGTAAACAGGCACCGTCCTTCGGATGAGAAGTAAAACCGAGGCCCTGACTCTCTGTGGACATTAAAAATCCCAGGGTGTTTCTTGAAAAGAGTAGGGGTGTAACCCCGGCATCCTGGCCAAATTTCCCATTGGACCTTACCAATCATGGCCTCCTAATAGTCCCCATCTCTGAACTGGCTTCATCACTCTGTTCTCCTCCTTACTAATAGCTGGTGTGTGGTGAGCGTTCTGGCGCACTATGCCTGCCGTCGCATCATCCAGGTGGGGCTGCATGTTGGTGGTGGTGGAGGGGAGTCACCATTACCTGTAAAGCGTTTTGAGTGGAGTGTCAAGAAAAGCGCTATCTAATTGTAAGCAATTAATTTATTAACTATTTATTACTCTAAATAAATTACTGAAAAACAATTTCTGTCTGCAGTTGTTGTGTGCTTATATCGCTACGGTGACTGCAACTGTAACGCTAGGAGTCTCTAGTCCTGGTTCTGAGAGCCCAGTCCAGTAATATGTCATCACTCAAGCCTGAGTTTGTGAAGACCTGACACGACTGAATTGTGATCAGTCAAACCAGTGAGGTCTTGGATGAGATCATTGTGAATAAATATCAGAAGACATTTCAGTCCCCAAGAACCGGAGTTTCCATAACTATAACTTTGAAGAATTCCGATTTTAAAAATTGGTGATTTTGCGCGACCTTCGGGTGTGACACCCGAAGAAGGCACCCCAGCCTTCTCTTTTCAACATGAAACACGATTAAATGTGACTAACGGCCATAGTGTAGTATAGAAATGTAACTGCAGTACTGTAATCTGTTTTTGGACGCAGTTCCCAGGAGTATCCACATGGTGGAGACAAAGCGCCATCTTTCCCCCTGTGGCCTGAGCAGCGCATGGCCTGAAAAAGCATCGAATCGGCCTGACAGTCTCGCTGAAATGAGCAGGGGTGTCAATTCTCGCTCTTCTGTGCCGAAATATTCCACAGCTACTTTAGCGATCGTTACAAATGATTCTATATGTGTGTATTTAAAGATAAACGAGACATTTAATGGATAAAAAATCATAATTGTGATTTTGTGTGTGTGTGCTCCTACAAATGTGTACTCCAGCTGTATTTTAAAAAAATATGCATGTAATTTCTGCAACATGCAAGCATCCTGTATACAGTACATATACTGTACTGTACTAATCACCTGCTACGGCGTGTCAGTTGTTTAAGATTAAAGAGTTTCTGGGAACCACCTCTCGCCTTAACCCGAAGCCCAGAGTGGCCACACGAGCTTCCTGAGCGACTTGAGGCATCTGAGCCCAGCCCGAACCGAGCCACGGGCGGCGGGGAGTCCGGTCCCACAGTGCGGGTTCTGAGCCCCCAGGTGGTCCAGAGTGCCGGTGCCGGCTCGAGCCCCTCTCAGCCCTCCGGCTCGCGCTCAACGAACCCGAGGTGACGTCAGCACCTCTATCAGGTGTTAGATCTCGTCTGAAGAAAAAAAAAACACGAGCTGTCATTACTTAAAAAATCAGGAAGTCGAGTCGGCGATACAGAGAGAGGAAACCGAAAAACACGATTGCTGAGAAACTTTTTTTCCTCTCTCTCTCTCTCAGAAAAAAAAAGAGCTGTTGGCATTTGCATTTGAACTCGGTCCTCCTGCCGGTTTCTGTTGATTTATTTGGTCGATTCGAGGAATGAGGGGGGCTGAGGCCGGGGCGCTGTAGCGGCCGAAGAGCGGAGCGGGGTGCCGGATGGAGAGCGGGTCTCGGAGACTCGGAAGAGCAGCCCAAGATGAGCGTCAAGCTCGCGCACTCCACGGCCATCCGGCTGGAGGTGAAGCGCCACGAGGCCGTCAAGAGCAGCATCAACACGCTCTTCAGGCAGCTGGACAAGGTCGGCGACCCCCAGCTGCGCAGCGGCCTCAAGCTCTACCTTCACAAGGTCCAAGGTGAGCCGCCGGCGGCACACGCACCCGCCCCGCGACAGGTGTACCGAGCCCCGGGGCCAGCGGCGGTGGGCTGGCCTGGGCTGCGTGCGGAGCTGGGGCCGGGGCACAGCGCGCCCCAGGGTTGTCTCCGAGGGTGCCACAGCGCGCACATCAACAGGTTAGCCCTGCGGAGTTTTAAGGTTCATCCGTGCCCCCATCGCTCTTGTATGAAGAGCAGAGGGAAATTCAGTTGTCATTTCACTATGACCTCAGCAATAACAGTAATGACAACAATGCAAGTCATGATAATGGTAAGAGTCATGTTAAAAGCAGAAGCTTTGAACCGCTCAAAGGCAGCAGATAATCAATTTCGACGGGGCGCTGAGGGAGGATGAACCGCTGGAGGCCTACAGCTGCGCGTCACAGCCCCTAGAGCCGCAGAGCCGCAGAGCCCTCAAGCCCCCAGGCGCTCGGGACTCGCTGGACGTCGCCCCCCGTGTCGCGCGCGCTCTCCCGGGAGGTTCGGAGCTGACCCGGACCGACACCCGCGTCTCGAGGCAGAGCCGCCGGCTGCCTTTCCTTTCCTGACCACAGAGAGTGCAGACGTGCGGGGGTTTTCTAACGGCCGGGCTGATGACACAAACCCAGACAGCTTCTGAGCCGAAGCTTCTTGAGAAAGTTCAGTGCAGGAAACGACAGAAAGAGAGGGACAGACAGGAGAACTTGGGTGATCTTGGTAAGACTATTATAAACAAAATGACAGAACAGGGAAGAGGTCGTTCTAAGACTAGCAATTCTTTGAAATGCACGAACCTGTTGATAATGCACAGTTCTGTGCAAAAGACAACACAACCAGTTGGATCAGAGCAGCCCAGGGAGATGAGATTGGGGTTTCTGAGGTTGTCAGGCTAACTTCAGCAGTTCCTCTGACCACGGTCAATCTGGAGGAACTGAAACAGAGAAGGTCTGCTGCTTTCTCACACACAGGGACTCAGAGCACGGACTGACCAGTCTGGAACAAGCTATGTGGCCATGCTATTGAAGCCAGATCCATAGTGTCTTTCATGGAACAGCTGGATGAGATCAGTTAGCTACTAACTAATGGTCCAATTGGCTCTTCTCAATTATAACCTTTCTTATATTCTGACTGAGATGTTGACACAATGATACACTGACAGTCTGGCTGACGTTGAGTTATGACTGACCTGTATTCTGACACCAGAATCGAATGGGCATTAAGGAAGGGGGTCATTGTATCCAGACGTGAACAGGTGTATCAGGATGTGTGCAGGTGTGTCCAGATGTGAACAGGTGTATCAGGATGT